GGCTGTCTGCAGGGCTACGTCTACACGGGCAGCTTGTTCTTCCCCAAACACTTGCTGCCTGTCTACACTGCACCAGCGTTCTTCCAGAAGTAAATTTACAGTACAGCAGGGCTTCTTCCAGAAGAATTATTCCTCTCCCCACGAGGAATAAGCCCTCTTGCGCAAGAGGCCAGTGTAGACAGGCAATATGAATTTCTTGTGCAAGAAGCCCCAATGGTTAAAATGGCCATCGGAGCTTTCTTGTGGAAGAGAGCATCTACACTGCCATGGATGCTCTTACGCAAAAGCACATCTCTTGTGCAAAAGCACATGCCAGTGTAGAAGCTCTCTTGTGGAAGAGTTTTTGCACAAGGACTCTTCCAAAAGAGTTCTTCCAGAAGAAGCTGCCAGTGTAAACATAGCCCGTGAGTATTGATGTATAGGGTTGCAAAGTGTGTTAGCTTCAAATCATGGAGACTCAGCCCCTGCCTACTCCCAACGATTGGTTTGTTACCCTTCCCTTTGTTACTCTTCCTGGTTACTTCAAGGAAGTTTTTTGAAGCTCATGGGTTCATCTCCTTCAGAGAGGAGAAGTGGATTGTGACCTGGATTGCTCCTGATACCATCCGCATGTTTGGTTAGTCTCTAAGGTGCTGCAGGACTATTTGTTGTTTTTTAAGTTTTGTCTGTTCATCTGTCACTGCACAGATCTAGTTTAAAGACTTCAGAGGGGGAGCCGAGTTAGTCTGTAACGGGAAAAACTTAAACAACAAATAGTCTAGCAACACCTTAAAGACTAACAAAACACCTGGATGGTATCATGAGCTATCGTGGCCACAACCCACTTCTTCAGATGACAGGACACGAAAGCTCATGATACCATTGATATATTTTGTTAGTCTTTAAGGTGCCACTAGTCTTTAAGGTGCCAGGGTTTCCCAGCCTATGGGTAAGGACCCAAATATGGGTCACCATTACATTTCAAAAGGGTTGCCAGTGGTCTCCTCAGGTGGATCTTAAGAAGCCATTCACACATTTTTTTTGAATTGCCTTGGGTCACCAAGTCTTCCTGAATTGTCAGAATGGGTCCCCATCTGGAAAAGGTTGGGAACTGCTGCACTAGACTATTTGTTGTTTTTTACTTTTTTCCTAATTTAAAGAGCCTTTCACCCATACAGCTGGGCCTGATAGTGCTGCCTGTTATTAAGGTTGTACAACACTTCCTATTGTAAAATCCTTTTTTCAGTTGCTTGTAATTTTGCCAAACTTTAACCATTTGGAGTGAAATTTTATATGGACTCCATCCTGATTTAATCATTTCTCGGAATGAGTTTCAATGAGGATGGAAAGGCAACAGCACTTCTGGCATTTCCTAGCCTATGGGTGGGTGCCTGACTTTGCAACCTCAGTAGCAGTGGTGGATATAGGGCAGGGCGAGCAGGGCAGCCGCCCTGGGCCCTGTGCTTCAATCGCTTCAATAAGCCCCGCGCATGCGCCATGTCAAAGGGGAGGGGACCGCGAAATTGTGCTGCCCTGGGCCCCGCAAAATCCTCATCTGCCCCTGCTCAGTAGTGTTTTCTTAACATCATTACTTACTATTAACAATATTTATACACATGTATTTCATAGTACCTAGATGGACCAGGACTCATTGTTCAGTGCCTAGCACAGAGTAAAAAGACAGTGGCAGCCAGTGTTCCCTCTAATTTTTATGTACATGTGCAGAATGAATTTTGTTATGTACACCAATATGGAGATGCTGTATGATACATCACATTCAGAATAGTGCACATAACAAAATACACTCTACACATGGATGGTGTGCAGAGGGGGTGGGGAGAGGGGTTTAGCATGTGAGAGGAAGCTCAGGACTGGGGTCAAGGTTTAGATTGTGGGGGATGAGGTCTCTGCCTAAGGGAATGGCTGCTGGGGTGGAACCAGGAATGAGGCATTCAGGGTGCAGGAGGGGGACTCAAGGCTGGGGCAGAGGTGAATGAGGCATTCAGGGTGCAGGAGGGGGGCTCAAGGCTGGGGCAGAGGGTTTGGGTGCAGGGAGTGAGGACTCTGGATGGGAGTATAGATTCTGGAGTGGGGTTGGGGATGAGGGATTTGGGGTACAGGCTGCTTTGGGGAGACAGGACTATCCCTAATCCTCTCTCACTGCAGCAGCACAGGGCCAGGGGTGAGGCACCTCTCCATAGTCATAGCAGCTCCATCAGGGCTGTATTAGGGCACCTGTCACCCAGTTGGGTTAAATCCGGGGCAGGTCCATGCTGGGTCTGGCAGGGAGAGCGCCCCCTCCTGCCACAGCAGGTCTGCGGCTTGGGGAGAAGAATCACTTCCTGTTGCAGCCATGATCCCCTGCATGAGGATTAATAGGCAGCAGCACAGCTACTCACCTTGGAGTGAAATTAGGTCTCTGCCCCAAAGAGCTCACATTCAAGTATAAAATGAGACTACAGATGGATACAGATAGGGGATTATCGTACGGAGGTGGTGGAATCTCCATCCCTAGAGGTGTTTAAGTCCTAGCTTGAAAAAGCCCTGGATGGGATAATTTAGTTGGGGTTGGTCCTGCTTTGGGCAGGGGGCTGGACTCGATGATCTCCTGAGGTCTCTTGCAGCCCTAGGAGTCTATGAGTCTATAAGTACAGTATTAGCATGAAAGGAAGAGGTATCCATGCAGCAGCAGCATAACATTTTTTGTGATTAATTGTATAGTATTTACAGTACTATACAAACGTTAATTATTATTGTACTAGAACAGTAGTTCTCAATCTTTTTTATACCAGGGACCGGCAAACCCATTCACAAAACTTTTGGCAGACCAGCAACATTTTATTGGCATATTTGTATATTCATATTTTGGCAGACCAGCAACATTTTATTGGCGTATTTGTATATTCATATGTATAATGAATATGCAAATAAATTGTTTCCAAATTGCCAACATATGTACCATAGCCCAGGCCCCTCATAAACTCCAACTCTGACTCCTGCCCCCCCATATTATGTTATTCAGCCCCAGCCATCAAAGCAGCCACCCACCAGGCAGAGCAGGCCCTAGCCCCTCCGCCACGTGGCTGCAGCAGGTCCCACTAGGGTTACCAGATGGTTTAACCAAAATTATCGAACACCCCCTCCCCACCCCCCCAGAATAAAACACCAGGGAAAAAATTCTGTTGAGGAAAAAAAAAGGGGGGAGAGACCAAAGTTGTTGAGCAAAAATAAATAAATAAAAAGGACCCCGAGAGTTATTAAGCAAAAAACAACAACAACAACAACATATTATTAAAACAGCATGGCCCCTTTAAGAAAAGTCTTTAGGCTTTTCCGGCGGCCATCTTGTTTTCTTGATCGGAGCCAGAAGGCAGCTTCCCTGCAGAACCAGGTAAGTGGGGGAGGGAGGGCCGAGAGCTGGACCCCGGTTGCTGAGTGTGTGTAGGGTTGTCAAGTGTCCAGTATTTTTGCTTCCTGATAAGGAAAAAAAAATCAGAAAATACCAGACATTTTAGGTGTCCGGTATTTTCTGAATTTTTTTACCAGACAGGAGGCGAAAATACTGGACTGTCCAGGTAAGTACCGGACACCTGGAAACCCTAGGTCCTGCCCTCTTCCCCCCACCCCCAGCCCTTGCCCCCCCGGGCGGGGCCAGCCATTGTATGCACGGTACTTGATCCTGCCAGCCAGGCAGTGTAATGATCTGCTAGAGCTGGAACCGGGCCACAGTGAGGCTGCCCCAGTAGGGACAGCCTCACCATGGCCCCAGCTCCAGCCACAACATGCCCAGCTGCCAGCCGCCCCACTCACTCTGCTGCTGATGGTGGATGGGGAACTCCAGTGTGTGGAGCTAATCAAAAGATAGGGGCATGGCCTGACAATATGTGAACTCAGGAGTTCGCAGCCTGCTGCTGGTGCATGAACCAGTGGATGGGAACCGATGTACTAGAAGATTTACCCAGTGTTGTTTTGGTCTTTAACTCAAAAAAAAAAGTTTAGTTTTTCTTCATTTAAATCATTGTTCTGGGGTGGGGTGGGGCTGAGGGTTCAGTAGGCAGGCTGCAAAATCATTGTTCTGGGGTGGGGTGGGGCCGAGGGTTCAGTAGGCA